GTGTGTGTGTGTGTGTGTGTGTGTGTGTGTGTGTGTGTGTGTGTGTGTCTGTATACATCTAGATATGTGTGTGTGTGTCTGTATAAATCTATGTGTGTGTGTGTGTGTGTGTGTGGTGTGTGTCTGTATACATCTATGTGTGTGTGTGTACGTCTATATATATGTGTGTGTGTGTGTGTCTATACGTCTATATATATGTGTGTGTGTGTGTGTGTGTCTGTATACATCTATATGTGTGTCTGTGTGTGTGTCTGTATACATCTATATATGTGTGTGTGTGTCTGTATACATCTATATGTGTGTGTACGTCTATATATATGTGTGTGTGTGTCTGTATACATCTATATATATGTGTGTGTGTGTGTGTCTGTATACATCTATATGTGTGTGTGTACGTCTATATATATGTGTGTGTGTGTCTGTATACATCTATATGTGTGTGTGTGTGTGTGTGTGTACCTCTATATATATATGTGTGTGTCCAGTAAAGCAGTGCGTCTCTCTTGCAGCTGGTGATGGAGTTTTGTGGAGCCGGTTCGATCACAGATCTTGTGAAGAACACTAAAGGGAATTCCCTGAAGGAAGAATGGATCGCATACATCTCCAGAGAAATCCTCAGGGTATGAAGCCAGGCTCACACACACTGATGCCGCAGCGGAGGTGTGCTGTCTCTCACACACCTGTGTGCTTTCTCTTGGCAGGGTTTGGCTCACCTGCACGCTCATCACGTCATCCACAGAGACATCAAGGGCCAGAACGTGCTTCTGACGGAGAACGCCGAGGTCAAGCTAGGTGAGGCGTTAACACAGGTCTCCGTGCTTTGAGCTCCTGTCACAGGCTCCTGCTGGAGATCCTGCTGTCAGACAAGAACACAATACTCTTCCTTAAACAGAATCATCAGGAAAACACTTACTGCTTCTAGGATTTGTTTTCTGTTCTCAGTCAGGGAAATCTCTGACAGACCACATCTAATCCAGCTGAGCAGTGTTTGGCCACAGTGTAGAGTAATAATGATCCCGGTGTGAAAGGTTTAAAGGGGGGAGCGTCGAGTTAAACTGCTCTCTTGCATCAGTGCCAGCCTCCTCTCGTGTGTATTCAGCGTGAACACGGACACACTAGCGCTTGTTGTGGTAATAAACGTCAGTGTATGCTTCTGATGGAGAGATGGAATATCCTGCAGCTGAGCTCATCACTATATATCGAGAATAAGAAGAAGAAGTCCAGATGTGCACTCAGTTCTGTGTGGTTCACTTTGTGCTGAACTCGTCCAATAATAATGCTTTCATTTCCTTTTGTTTGTTTCATTTTATGGTTTAGTTGGAAAGTGTTTAATGAAATGAGCCCATAGCACCACCTAGTGTCCAACCAGCGCTAATACTGAAAATCATGATGTCATGTCTATAATATTCAGTCATTTTTGGAGGGCAGCACACAAATGAAAGAGTGCAGACTGAGCGCACATTTATCAGTGACGAAGTGTTCCCGCTGAGGTCTGAGGCAGACCGTGGTGATGGAGCAGGTGTTTGTCAGCAGTGTTTCAGGAGTTCTCTCGTTGCTCCGCAGTGGACTTCGGCGTCAGCGCTCAGCTGGATCGAACCGTGGGCCGCAGGAACACTTTCATAGGGACGCCGTACTGGATGGCTCCCGAGGTCATCGCCTGCGACGAGAACCCAGACGCCACGTACGACTACAGGGTAAGAGCTGCAGACTCAGAGCTGGTGTGTGCTAGGCTCAGAGCGCAGGGACTGACGGCTGTGCTGTGCTGTGTTTCAGAGCGACCTGTGGTCCTGTGGGATCACTGCCATAGAGATGGCCGAGGGCGCTCCTCGTGAGTACTGTCCTCACACACCTTCACTGCTGCTGCTGCTGCTCTCTTACACTCTCCTGACATACATTAGCTTCTGTGCCACCATTAGTACATTTGACAGCAAATCAATACATTTAAAGATGAAAATTGAAAACACAAACCCTTATTATGAAAGAGAACTGTTAAAGAGGTCATGGCATGGATTTTTTTAAATTATTTTAATATGTTCCTTGAGGTTTACTTATAATGTTAATAAAGTTGTTTTGCACAAAATAACAAATAAATATGTGGGGAAAAGGATTATTTCCAACCCTCATTCTGACCCTCTGTCTGAACCGATCTGTTTTAAGGGGCGTGTCCTTTAAGGCTCGTCAGTAATCAATCAGCCGCTGTTGTGATTGGCTAACATCACTGCATAGGAAACAGTATCAATGCCCCTCACTATCTGTTTACTGTATCCAGTGTAGACAAGATGGCGCAGTGATTGTCATTTCTATTTGCTTTTGACACGACACTCTCGTTCAGCGTGATCAAGTGTCAGCCGTTAGTGACTGAACGCCAGTGGGCGGGGCCTATGGTGAGAAGAAGACTATTGGTCGATGTCTTGCTGTGGAGGCGTGTTTATGCAAACGACTGCGCCCAGCTGACATCACCTTGTCCCTCGGATCCAAAACGAGTCGTATTCTGAGGGTTATTACATGTTTTTTTTATTGACGATGAGGACATTTTAAGTTATGAATCTTGCAGGATGTATTAAGCATACAAAGACCTCTTCTGTCAAAAGATGAAGGTAAAGTTGGTTTCTCATGTCATGACCTCTTTAAAGCACAATAGAAGTATTGTGACGTGTCATTACTCCGTCTCTCACGTGTTGAAGCTCGAGTATACTGGATGTCATTATACCCTGTGCTGGGTTGACGCTTGTGTTTGATGAGTGTGTGTGTTGGTGTTTTGCAGCATTGTGCGATATGCATCCCATGCGAGCGCTCTTTCTCATACCCAGAAATCCTCCGCCCAGACTCAAGTCCAAGAAATGGTCAGTAGCTTCATCTGCTGCGGTGCAGTTACTGTGGAGAGTGAAAGGTCAGGGCTGAGGACTCGCTCTGCTGTGCTTCACAGGTCTAAGAAGTTCTTCAGCTTCATCGAGGGCTGTCTGGTGAAGAACTACACGCAGCGGCCGCCCACCGATCAGCTGCTGAAGCACCCCTTCATCAGAGACCAGCCCAACGAGCGGCAGGTGCGCATCCAGCTCAAAGACCACCTGGACCGCTGCCGCAAAAAGCGTGGAGAGAGAGGTACTGACCCCACCACACCGCACCTCACCTCACCTCACGCATGTGCTGATGAGTGACTGACCGCCTGTGCTCCGCCGCAGACGAGACCGAGTACGAGTACAGCGGCAGCGAGGAAGAGGAGGAGGAGGCTCAGGAGCAGGAGGGAGAGCCCAGGTATCACACACACACACTACATCAAATCACAAGTGTTTGTCCTCATTGTAGGGCTGTCAAAGTTAACACGTTAATAACGCAAATTATTTTTAACAGCACTAATCTTATTAATGCAGCGCACATTCTCTGTTTGACCCGTGGCCTCGCCTGTAGTTGGAGAAATGGAGATGCAGTGTCGCCAACTTAGCAACTTTGTCACTAGATTTAGCCACTTTTCAGACACCTTTAGCAACTTTTTTTCCAAAAGAGCACCTAGTGACAATTCTAGCAGCTTCTTGGACAAACCTTATTTAGTTTCTGAGACTCACAGGTCTCTCTTTCTCACAGCTCTATCAGTCTGTCTCTCTCTCTCTAAGAAAATACAACATAAGCTATTTTCTGTGCTGTTTCTGACCCCCTCATCAGAACGCTCTGTTTGAATAGCTGTGGAGGATTGTAGACTGAAGTAAACACCACTGCTGTGATTGGCTAATAGTTGTGTGTGTTTGACAGCCTACATCCTTCACAGATGGACGCTAATATGATTTAGGTTAAAAAGCTTATACTAGGGGGTCGTGGAATGCTTGAATCTGATTGGCTGATGAATGTTCTAAGGTGTGCAGTTATTTTCAGGGAAACGCACGGCGAACGTAGTTCCAGGCAGCTCTTGACCGCATTACATGACCATTATCACTTCGCCAAATTATTTGAGTTATTTCAAAGGTCCTTACAGCCAAAAACAGCAAAAGAACCAAAACCCACAACGACACTGGCCAAACAAATAAATATAGTAAACAATAGGATAAAAACAACTGATCATTTCCATGTTTTTGCCACAAAATTACATTTTATTATGTATGGAAAGCACATGCTCTCTCTCCCTCACACGCACCCTCTCTCCCTCTCCCTCTCTCTCTCTCTCTCTCTCTCTCGCTCTGATAACTTAAGTTATTAACTGCATTAATCTGCTATCAACAGCTCAAGTCTCCGTTATTATAATAAAAAAAATAATAAAATTTCCGTCTTTCGGATGAGACGTTAAACCGAGGTCCTGACTCTCTGTGGTCATTAAAAATCCCAGGATGTCCTTCGAAAAAGAGTAGGGGTGTAACCCCGGCATCCTGGCCAAATTCGCCCATTGGCCTCTGACCATCATGGCCTCCTAACCATCCCCATATCTGCTGATTGGCTTCATCACTCTGTCTCCTCTCCACCAATAAGCTGGTGTGTGGTGGGCGTTCTGGCGCAATATGGCTGCCGTCGCATCATCCAGGTGGATGCTGCACACTGGTGGTGGTTGAGGAGATTCCCCCCTTCTATGTAAAGCGCTTTGAGTGCCCAGAAGAGCGCTATATAAATGTAAGGAATTATAGGAATTTTATTATTAATAGGTGGGCGGGGCTAAACAGGCAGTGATGTAGAATCGGTGGGTGGGGCTAAACAGGCAGGGATGTAGAATCGGTGGGTGGGGCTAAACAGGCAGGAATGTAGAATCGGTGGGCGGGGCTACACAGGCAGGGATGTAGAATCGGTGGGCGGGGCTAAACAGGCAGGGATGTAGAAGCAGGCGTTGATCTTCTGCAGAAGCGGTGCTTATCCACACTGTTACATCACAGAGTAGAATGTTGCAAGCTGTCGTTTTGGCAGACTGGCTTCAATATAAGCTGTTTTAGACTAACGAGAATGCTAGAGAATGTTTTTATAGTACAATGACCTATTATATGTCAAAGGATCAGTGGAATTTTGGTTTGTCAGTGCATGACCCCTTGAAAGGTGAACCGTATGTAACTGTGTGTGTGGCAGCTCTATCGTGAACGTGCCGGGCGAGTCGACTCTGCGGCGGGACTTCATCCGTCTGCAGCAGGAGAATAAGGAGCGCTCGGAGGCCCTGAGACGCCAGCAGCTCCTTCAGGAGCAGCAGCTCCGTGAGCAGGAGGAGTACAAGCGGCAGCTACTGGCCGAGCGACAGAAGCGCATCGAGCAGCAGAAGGAGCAGAGGAGGCGTCTGGAGGAGGTCTGTGAGAAACCACACTCATCCTGTGATTCCGGGAACAACTATATACACCACTAGAATGCCTTGTTTTGACTGAGATGGCAAACGTGATCAGTGCCAGACTACACTGCTGATTACTCAACCATACAAGTCACCAGTTTGTAACATCACAGAATATGTCTAATCTGCACAAATGCGTCTGATCCTCCACCGACACATGCTGAACATGCCATAGCAAAGGATAGGTCAGACAGAGATCTCCGTTTGGCTCTTACACGTGTCCTAACTACACGCGATTTTTTCCATGTTAATCTGAGTTTTTGTCCTAACTAGAAACGGGTTCTATTTCCGCGTTGTCGTGGCTGGAACAACAACATACAAACTATATGACAGTAGATAATCTCAGGTACAGATTATGTGCTTTATTCAAAGTTAAACATGTCTAATGTGAGTTTGAATATCATATTGCGTGACGTTTATAGCCATACTGAAAACAACAACAGATAGTTTACCTCAGATCTTGAAAATAAATGTAAGCAAATGTACGTTAAAACTGGGAACTCGATGCGAACCAACGAGCGTATTCCATAACAAAGACGTTATCAGTCACTCAGTATGTGCACTTAATGTTAAAAAGCTTTAATATTTATGAATTAGATTATAAAATTATCCATTTGGTTGAGAGTGCGATGCGCTTCCAGTGAGGCTCCGCCCACACGCTTCTGACTGGCTGCGGTATCTGATTGATTCTGTGGCGCGTGTGGCGTCGCGTGTAGTTAGGACATGGTGTTCGGCTGTGCAATCCACAAATCATCTTGAAAAAGCAGAGGTCACATGATCATAAACTCGTATGTCACAGGTCTTTAACAATCTGAACCTACTGATCCGACCTGAGCATGCTATACTGTAGCCGGAATACTTCACCTCTCTACCAAATGTGCAGTTTTGAAAGCAAAATCAGTCACTTCTATGACAAGCCATTCTTTTGTTGAATTAAAACTGCAATAAAAGTGTTCTCTCTGTGGGTTTACAGCCACGGTTCTGTGCGTAACCTCACCAATCTCACAGCTCTGCTGTCATGTTTGCTGAATGACAAGGAACTGTATCGACCCTCTTTCTTTTACATTTACATTTACATTTAGTCATTTTGCAGATGCTTTTATCCAAAGTAACTTACAATTGGGGGATACATAAAGCGATTCTTCTTAAAGAGGCCAACAGATACAGGAAGTGCCTGTAATACCGAGTTTCTAGACATTGTTCAAATAAATACAAGCTAGAAAGAGAAGGAATAAATAGAGTTCCCTTTCATGGGAACTTCGAACTGCGTCCTCTAGGGGTCGCTATGGGGAACGCCTCGTCGTGACCCGTGTCTGAAGCATACATTGAAAAAACACGAACTCGTTGGCCGGCGACAGCCATGACGTCACTACCGCCAATTCCTCAAATCGAAACTACAGTTCGCACTTAAATGTTTTTATGTTGAAACACTACAGCACATGTCAGTGTTCAGCCTAAGATCAGTGAGAAGCAAACAGCAGCAATGATTGTGCGTTCGTCTCGTGTCCTGCAGCAACAGAGACGCGAGCGCGAGATGAGGAGGCAGCAGGAGCGAGAGCAGAGGAGGGAAGAGCAGGAGGAGAAGAGACGCCTGGAGGAGATGGAGAGGAGGCGCAAAGAGGAGGAGGAGCGCCGAAGGGCAGAGGAGGAGAAGAGGAGGGCTGACCGCGAGCAGGTGAAGCAGTGAAGCGCCTCGGGGGTGATGGATCTGTGATCTGAGAGACCTGCTCCTGCACTACAGCTGGGTCTGATTCCACAAATCTAATCCAGTCTCATTCATACGCTCTTGATTAGTTCAGTTTCCGTTTGCTTCCATACACTTCAAATACATGTCAGCATTTCTGACATTATATTCAATCTCTACACTAAAGCTGTCAGTGGGTACATTACTCTAATGTTATACTAAAGGCAGACATTTACAGCCGATTCCATATCTAACTTCGGTTTAATTTTAGATGTAATAATGAACACCCCTCAAAAAAAACTTGAGTTGCATAAAAAAATTCAAATTGCTGGTCGGCAGTTTTTTTTTTATATGAATCTTTAATGGACTTTAAGAAGTTATGACCAGTCTTTAAGAAAACAAATGAGAGGACTAAGTGTTTAAGACTAGTGTAATCAGTTTAGGTGTGCCAGCTGTCTGAAGGAGCTGTGTTCCCAACAGTCACAGCACCATTACATCACCACAGACTAGTGTTCAGCCAAACATTGTGTTTAGCTTTTACTTAAAGGGATCGTTCACACAAAAATGAACATTGTCATTAATTACCCTCATGTCGTACTCACCCCTTTCGTTCATCTTCGGAACACAAATTAAAATAATTTGATGAATCCAAGAGCTTTCTGACTTTCCATAGACAGCAGTGCAACAAGTTTCATAAAATTACGGTTGAACCCCTGATGTCACATGGGCCTGTTTACACCTGGTCACTTCATGCGTTTTCTCTGATTGGATCGCTATCCAATGGTGAAAAGACCAGGTGTAAATGCCCCACGAAACTCTTTCAAGACAGATATAAATCTGATCGCTCAAACCACTTACGGAGGTGGTCTGGGCCGCATTCAGATGAAACTGGACAAGTGTAATGCAAATTTTACTCCTCCCGAAATATTAAAATAATAAACGTGTGAGAGAATTTTATTGGTTATATGGCATGTTATAGTCAGATATGACCACTGATGCAACGCTCCTCGCTGCGGATGAGTAGCTGAGTATCTCCAGCAAGCCGACACTAACACAAATGAAGCTGAAAGTAAGTCACAGATGCTCAACTCACAATCATCTTAATTAGAAGTAGTGAGACTAACCTATCTTTCCAGTGCTGATGCCACGCGCTCTCCTGTTGCGGTCTTTGATCTTGACATTAGCTGTTTATTAATAAAATGCAGCGCTTATCTGTTGCTTTTGTTAACATGAACTCTGTTAAGAGACCTCGGATTTCATCAGTTATATCTTAACTTGTGTTCTGAAGATGAATGGAGGTCTTACGGGTTTGGAATGGCATGAGGGTAATTATTGACAGAATTTAAATTTTTTGGGTCAACTAACCCTTTAAAGTTTTAAGAGCTGCATGATGTGTATTTTGTAGGAATATCTAAAAGTCTTACGTTCAGATATGCTTTTGAATTCAAAACATAATTTTATATAAAACAAAGTGCACAGTAATGAATGGAGCTAATGATGACATCAGAGCTGAGGAGGGTCAGTTCTGTCTCCACGCAAATCTACTCGCGGCCCGTCTGGAGGGAAACAGTGGGCCAGTTTGGTTCATTTTGCCCCTTACACACCCTTTTGGAAAAATCCACTAGCTTGGTAGGGCTAATTGATTCATATGTGACCCTGCAGCACAAAAGCAGTGTTAAGTCGCTGGGGTATATTTGTAGCAATAGCCAAAAAAACATTGTATGGGTCAGAATTATAGATTTCTCTTTTATGCCAAAAATCATTAGGATATTAAGTAAAGATCATGTTCATGAAGATATTTTGTAAATGTCCTATCGTAAATATATAAAAACTTAATTTTTGATTAGTAATATGCATTGCTAAGAACTTCATTTGGACAACTTTAAAGATGATTTTTTCAATATTTAGATTTTTTTGCACCCTCAGATTCCAGATTTTCAAATAGTTGTATCTCGGCCAAATATTGTCCAATATTGTGTGTGTGTGTGTGTGTGTGACAGGAGTACATCCGCCGGCAGCTGGAGGAGGAGCAGAGGCACCTGGAGATCCTGCAGCAGCAGCTGCTTCACGAGCAGGCCATGCTCCTGGTGAGAGACGTCTGACTTTATTTCGGGTTAAAGCAGTATTCTGTGTTTGAGAGGATGGCATGCGTATCTGCAGCTGTCATCAATATTCAGAAGCACACAGATTTGTTAGCTCTTTACTAACATTAATAGAGAACTGGTGCACTTTTGTGAACATTACTGTAAAAAGTGACCAGTTTCTGAACAGTAAAACAGCTTAGTTCTTAGTAAAGGGATAGTTCAGCCAAAAATTTAATTGTGCTGTTAATTTTCTCATCCTCAGGTCATTCGAGATGCAGGTGACTGTTTTTCTTCAGTAGAACAGTGCAAATATTATATTTTTAGCTGAAACCGTGCTCCTTTGTGATTCATAAAAAGACTGGCTCTCTTTATTAGAAAGCACTGATCTGTTAAAACAGCTGGATGACAGTATTTCTGGCTCTGATTATTGAGGTGTCTGTGCTGTGCCCGGCGTCTCTCTGCAGCATGAGTGTTTGTTGTGAGGTGTTTAGAGCTGCACTGGTGTGTCACTCTGTGCTGGTGTGTGTGCAGGTGGACGAGCGTCACCGCAGGAGCGTGCAGGGCTCGCCTCAGACCGCAGTCCTGCAGAAGCAGCCTCCAGCCGTGCCACCGCGATCATCAGAGCCCTTCTCCAACGGCAGCAGCAGCAGTGACCCGCAGGTGAGCCCTCACACGCACACACACACTCACACTCTCACACACACTCACACTCTCACTCTCACTCTCACACACACACACACACACACACACACACACACACACACACACACACACACACACACACACACACACA